AGTGCCTCCGAAGTGCAGGCGGCTTCATTTGCTTCTTTCTTCGGCTGCTGCTGACGGCTGGTTCTGGCATTTGATTTCGCTACAAACTTCTTCTGAATTCTGAGAAGGAAGAAAAAACAGAAAGTGACGTAGAGTCAGGAATTTTGGTTCTACATCTTGTTCCTGGACTACATCATTTATGAAGATCCTTCTTTTTGGGTATGTGGAGCTGTTCAGAGTTATTATGGCGTGAGTAATTAACTAACTCCAGCGAAGCACATCCAGTGGCAGCGCGCATTTACCACTCGGATTGCTTAGTATGAGGTTTGTTGTCAATAATGTATAATGTCTATGAATGTACTAAGTGCAGAAATTTACTATAAAGGCTATAAAAATGTGGGGTAAAATCAAAGCAGTTAAATACATCTCCACTTACAGATTTCCTGGGTTTCTTGTCTTCGAAGGCAGCTTTTTGTAGTGTTGGAGCGCCATCTTCTTGACTACAAAGAACGAAAAACGGAAGTGAAAAATAACGTGTTTTTCTTTACTCATCGTTTTGGTGCAGTAAGCTCACGGCAACCCGACTCGAACACTTAATCCTGACTAGTCCTTTGCATGTGGCATGGGCACTATATTTGAAGATAAACGTGCTACTGAAAATGTTCAAGTAACACTTTATTTGATAAACGTAAAGTGCAGTGTAGGAATAACTAAGAAAGAGTACTAAATGGATTTTCAGCCAATGTACTGAGAAGAAGGCAAACGTTTCCTCAGTGAGCTACCTGACTTCTGCAAAATTCACGCCCAAGTTTCAAAACTTCGGGGATCTGAAGGCACAAACTGAAACTTTCATTGCGACATCAGATTATAGTCATACTCAGGGAAAATCGGTAGAGGCAATCTGGTGAGCAGTACAGGATTCTGTGATTTGTCTATTAGGCCTCAATTTTTTTGAAGGAAATTAAAACTGTTGTCCTGACACTACGCCTATGAACTTTAAATAACCAAAAAATGTTGTGCATTGTCAAGTCAATAGTTTAGTGTAACGATACTAGACATGGAACCATCCAAAAATCGAAGAGGTACGTAAAATACTACACATAGCAAGCTGAAACATGTTACGGACTAAACGACGGTCTCATTCGCAGAGGAGTATGATATTGAAAACATTTAACACACTAAGTACCCACCTCTTCGCTGACTTTTTTGCGTTTGTGTTTGAAATTTGCGTGCCCAAACGATTGTGTTGGCTCCATAACGCAGGAGACGAGAGGAATTCACTCGCTGAAAAGAAGTATATGATGATGTTTAATATATTTGTGCATTTAAAGTTTACATCTAGGTGGTTTTACTTTTTAAAAAGATGGAACTAAATACAGCTTTTGCGAAAGGTTAGTAGAGGCTTATAGTGATTGCATTTCATCGATGCACTTACTATTATTTTTCCTTAGTGGAATTTATTTGAGACCGATTAATTTTTGGACAGCTTCGAGTCTCCAGTGGCTTATACTTACGTCTAAACACTTGGCGATCACCTATCGCTCGTGTCTTGTTAGACTGGACCCATTTTCTGCTGGTATATGGGCCCGCAGCTCTGAAACGGTCTAAAGTCAGCTCATAGTATGGCATATTAATGACAGACACTAATGAAGTGCTGTTAAAAAGTTTTACAAATTACTCTGCATGACAAATCAAAGGATAAATAGCATTAAAAGACCCCGCTACAAACACCGACGCTCAACAGGGGGGATTAGACGCTAAGAGGGGTTTGCTAGTCAACGAACGGCCGTTAGGTGTGTTTTACTGACCACACAACCCAGTGGGCAAAGAAAAAAGGACTGAAAACTAACCAGATTGTTTGATTTCCGGCTAGCACGTAGTCTCTCTGATTCCATAACTTGGGTTTCCGTCCGGTGAGCTCCTGTTTGTTCATCCTCTTTGGTAGTGTCGGCAGCCACGTTTTCAGTTTCCTTGGTCTTCTGCTCCCTTGGAGTACCATTGTCCACAAGACTGTCCTGAGTACTCATAGGGCCCGGAACAGTGGTGGGGGTAGCGCCGAACATCTTCAGAGCCTGAGATATCCAGCTGGTTGCTGACTGGAAGGCTGTCTCTGTCATCTGGTCCCACTCAATACCATTCATCTGGACGTTTGGATTACGTGACAGAGGTGGAACTTGCAGAGCCGCGGAGTAACTGCCGACAAGATTGCGAAAGATTTCTTCACTTAGCGCCGTTTTACTGTTGGTCTCAGCCCAGGTGCTCATGTCGAAGGGCTGTGATAATGGGCCGTTATTAGCAACAAAACCGGCTTTTTCACTTGCCAGTCGACCCCCAGTGCATTTGCCCAGGGCACTTGCGCGAGTCAGTTCCGGTGAAAACATGGGCAGCATATTGACCACCTCTCTGTGCAGCATGTTATCATTTTGGCCACTCTCGAATCCTCGTGAATATAATAATTTCGTCGGGTTACTGTTCTCTTCTGTTACCTCGTCC